TCAAACGCGCTGCCAGCATCCTGGGCAGCCGCTGGCTGCAGGATATGCTTGTAGCGACGGCAGCGGCGGCGGCGGCGCTGACGGTGACAGCGACGGCGACAGCGACAGAGGCAGCGACAATGGCCGCGCTCTCGTTTTCAGCGAACTGCTGCGCTCGGCGTCAAATTTCAAACTAAAGTCAGTTGGCCCGGCATGGCCGCAGCTAAAACCCAGTGAGAATGCGACCCTCCAAGCCTCAGTTACCCTGCTGGAAATTTCGGGCATGTGGTGTGAAGCGAGTGCGCGCTTTGTATCTGCGCGCTTTGTATCTAGAGGGGCTCTTCTCTAAAGAAAAAAACTGTGGAAATTATGAAGAAAAAGCAAGTGCATGAGTGTGTTTGCTGTATAAAAATATAAAGTACATGAGTTTTCAGCAGATTGTAAGTTTAAATGTCAGTATCGTGTGAAATGTACCTCAGATGCGTTTAACTTTAACTTCTTTCCATGTACTTTATTATCTTTTTTTCTTTATTTATAAAGATTTCTCCGTGATTTTCACATTATATGCATACAAAAAACATGTATATATTTAAATACCAAGCAAGTTACAAACTATGTGCCTTTTCCTGCATTTTATCATGCTTGAATTTCTTGCTGGGTGCGCGCGGTATTCGACAACAACAACGACAACAACAACAGCAGGCAAACGGTGCTTTTGCTAAAGTTGATAACAGCCATATTGTTGCCTTTGTGTGCGTGCATGTGAACTGGTGTGTATTTGTGTGTGTGAGTCTGTGTGTGACTAACACAACCACCTAACACCTAGCGTTAAAGAGCGAGTGCGAGTGGGAGAGCGCGAGAATGAATACACTCAGAAAAAATGCATGTAAGCAGATTACCGTACTTCAGCATGTGGAAACATTGTGAAGCTATTAATTTGCAGGTCAAAAACTACTAAAAGCAGTTTTATTATAGAGAAAATTGTCGAGAGCTTTTATAGGGCTCGAATCATCCCCGATTGATATGCTTCAGTATCTTAGTTATATAGAATATTCGCGAAATGGATTTATCTATCAGAACTTAATGCAGCAAAAGGTCTGCTGGGTGACTTTTTAATTTCAATTTGTTTTATTCTGCGCTGGAATGATCAAAACCTTGTAATTTCAACCAAGCGAATTTACTATGATAGATGAAATAGAGCATATTGACAATGTTTGGCAGCTTACAAGGTATTTAGATTGGAAAGGTATTTGCAATGATAGGATTTTTACAATTAAGGGGATTCAGGGCTTAGCTTAATACTGAAAGGAATTTAAATGAACCGCCTCGTTGGTAGGTTCGTTTTTAAATTAATACAAAATTTAAAAAAATTTAGCACTAGACTTAACATGAGGTACAATCAATAATAATAATAATAATTTAACGATTTAAATAAATTCATTTTGCTGATTATATATACATGAGGATGACTAACATATTTCTCACAGTGTATACAAATTCATTCAATTTCCAGGACATGCCTCCTTGTACATGTACATGTACATGTGTATGCATGTGCTCATATTTGTGTGTGTTTGAGCGTGTCTGCCTGGGAGAGGAGAGCACCCAGAGCAGCAATGGATGAGTGTAGACTTTGTGGATTTTGTTTCCAAATTGAATTGCCCAATACATTTGCGTGTGCGTGCGCTGCAAGGACTCTCGCCGAGCAGAAAGGCAATGGGAGCGGGAGAATTTACGGGGCTGCGTATCGCTGTAGCCTTCGGTAGCCTTGCTCACCAAAACTGGAGTCAATGAAACTTCTTTGCTGCACGCTCCGCGTCTTTCAAAATGAAATCAAAGTGGGATATTTAAAGCCTCATTAATCAGGCTGCTGCTATCCACAAGTAAACCCCAGCTCGGCAGCGCTACCAGACGAGGTGTCGAGTGGCCCACAACTCGAGGCTCTCAACTTGAGAGCGTTAATGCGCTCATTAAGTTCGAATTTGTTTCATTGATAATTACATGATGCTAATAACGATGGAACACTGTAAGATAACATATATTTACATATCCCAAAAGCAAAGGCATATGTAAGCAATAAATACTGGCTTCTAATGCGCGGACCCAGTCCCTCTCAATACTTTTGTTTTATACACATATACATATACTTATTTTCAAAATTAGACAATACAAATAAATTTAAATATTTTGCCTAGCTTTAAGAAAGTTGTATAATCCGTCTAACTGCAAATTTTCCGCAGCCTTGCGAGCTTGCTGGAAACCATTGCGATTCTCGGTAAAATACAAGAAGAAGAAAAACAGCAGCAAGCTGTTCCGAGCACGAGAAATATTTGAACCATTGTTTAGTAATTTTTTAATTTATGGCCCATATTTCCTGCAATGTTCTTTTTTGGTAATTCTACCTGAAGCATTGCTGCAATTGCCAAAGGCATGCAGAGAAAATGGATTTTCTTCATTATGCCTTTTATTTTTGGAAAATTAAACGTAGCCTTGATATACTGTGTGTACAGTCAGAGAAATGCAACTGGTCGATTTCTCTTTTCTCGTCTAGTGGCAACGTCATGGAACAGTTTTGGAAAACCTTTGGCTCTGGTTTATCATACAAATATTTGCGTTTATTTTTTAGATTAACGCGAACGTATTGTACAGTAACTAGTTCGGTTTCTTGGCTGTGGCCGTCGTTGGGTTTATTGTTGCAACGCTTCAGCTGAGTCAATTTGATGATTTGTCGTAATGAATGCTAATTAAACGCATTCGTTTTCTAGTTCAGTTGGCACCCAACAGCTAGGCAGCATCCATATTGGGCCAGGGCATCTTATTCTTCTACTCTAACTCTAGCTGGTTTCTATGTATTCGTTCAACTTGAATGTGTTCTCGTATGCCGCATGGCCAGGGCAACAAAGTGTGTCAAAATTCTTAGGCGTATCCATGAACAAAACCTTGCTCACATGCCCAACCGAGCTGTGTGGCTGTGACTGGCTGGCTATGTGCCGTAGTTTAGCAAATAGACACACAGACACACATGCATACAAATAGCTGAGTATATAGAAAACATAGATACAGATAGCGATATGCAGGCCTCAGCTAAAGACACAGATAGCGATGTTCGAGTATGTTTCACACAATTTGGGTATATCCACGACGTGAGCGTAAGTGGAAAAGCAAATAAAAGGTGCTAATTTCATGAGGGTTTAATTAGACGTTAGGCTGCTGTACGATTTCTTTTTGAATTCAAGATTTTATTGTCGGTCGCGGGTCTGGTTAAAATAAAAACACATAAAGTTCCAGACGTTTTCCTAGCCATTAAAATTCTTTCATTCTTTCTACGCGATTACGTGGGCACTTATATTATGATCAAAAAAGATCTTGTAAGAGCATAAGAAATAAAAATATTTAAAAAAAAAAACAAAATGTTACGTTCGCCCGAGCAGGGACTTGAACCCTGGACCCTTGGATTAAAAGTCCAATGCTCTACCGACTGAGCTACCCGGGCAGTTGAACCAATTTTGCCAAAAGCCCTTTAAATTGCAACTGAAAGAAAAAGCTTTGTACGATAAAGTGTGCAGGAAAAGCTTTCTTAATAATTGAGGCAAAAAGCTCAAATGCTTTGCTTCGTTGAGGGTATCATTATTAAATAATACATTATGCGACTCATTGAAGAATACGAACACGACAAATATGAAATCCAAATATTGCCATACATAATATCGAAAGGAATAAATATATTTTCAAAAAATTAAAAAATATTTTGTGTAGCAAAAGATTGTGGTCCAACAATTGGCAAGGCTGATAGTGGCAGTCCACTCCGGTACGCTATCCCACTACTGCTTACCACGGGAACTCTTGGCTGCTGGTTTTCACCCCTGGCCCGGTTCATCCCTCCTTAGCCAACCTGAATGCCGTGGACTCCTCCGCGGCACCCATATTGATGGCAAGCTTAGTGCGGACGTTCCGTCAACATGGCTGGTCCACTACACAGTGATCCCCAGCCTCAGGCCATCCCACAATCAGACCTCACAGAAGCGTGATTACAGAAGCTGCCAACCTTCCAGTCGAAAATCAAATTTCTAAACGAGCATTATATGTCTACGTTTAGCAAAGTAGTTTGGCTTGATTTACTGCTTTATCGATGAACTGCTTTCCCACTGCAGTGAAATTGTATTCGCATTTCCGACAAAAGCAGTTGTAAGTAATTTTGTTGTACCCTGCTTAGTTTCCATCTGAAGTCGTTAACTTGTACTGCTTTCACGTAATCACTGCTTTGGTTAAACTGCTTTCTTAGCATACGTGAATATAGCGTACCTCGAAGACAAAGCAAATTGCTGCAATCATTAAAAATAATAATAAATAAAAAAGAAATAGCCATTAGTTGATTTATTGATTATTCATAGCCAATATATATAACATTTTTCCACCCATCAATAAATAAAAAAAATAATAAAACAGAGCTCGCCCGAGCAGGGACTTGAACCCTGGACCCTTGGATTAAAAGTCCAATGCTCTACCGACTGAGCTACCCGGGCATGTGATTAACTCTCGCCAAAACCCAATCAAAAGCATATTATTCTTCTATAAGAATAATGTTAATGTTAAATTATTGAATTACAATCCATTTAAGAGGAAAATAGAGTATAACTTTTATTTAGATGTCGTAAACAGGATATGCTGAATTTTGTAGAAAACAACTAGTTTATTTAAAAACCTAAATTTGTGTGTCCAATGTCCAATGTTTCTTATAGCAGGGTAACATCAAAGTTTATGTGTACTCAAATAAAACAGGGCAAAGTAAATTGACTTTTCTCAAATAATTTATGACAGTAAAAATGTTACTCAAAATTTGCGTTTAGTCCAGGTGGACAAGCCTGTTCGGATATGCAAGTATGTAGTGCCTGAATAATCATTCGCATATAAATTTATAATGCTGTAACATAAAATAGTATATCCAATTGTATGTATATATATATATATATATATATATATATATATATATCAAATCTATTTGTATACATAAACAAATCGCTTTAGGAGTCAAGATTTGAGCTCGCGATGGTATAGTCATTTGGATTTCCGCTTTTTCGTTTTTCCACCCTAATCGAAAAATGTCGCATTAATTACAAGTGTGCATTGGTATAAAGTATTAGGTACCATACCGCTCATTAAAAGCCTTTATCACTTCCTTCTTCAAGACTGATACAAAAAACAAAAGTATGCCTTGAGCAGAGGTTATTATGTCAATAAGCTGGGTTACACCAAAATTGTTGATTGAACATAGAAACGCAATTATCTCCAGAAGCCATGACACGCCTGTTATGGCGAATAGGCGGAAGAATAATTTGAAACTAAATGAAAATAACTTGTAAATCTGTAAACATGCAAATCAATAAAAATCACTTGCTTGGCTTGATGTGCAAGTTTGTTGCTACTCTCGGCGTTACTCCACACGCGGCAATTATTCTGGTCCTCTCTATATATTATCATTGCCGATACAATAGAAAGCCATATGTTGATAAGTATGGCCAACAATATGGGACCATAATAGTAGATCATTGCCGAATAATCCTCAGCTGTGAGCGAGAAAATTGATCACATTAAATATTTTTTTGACATAAAATTCACCATTGATCTTCTCACTTTCGATCCAACAGGAAAAATATCCAATTCTAGGCTGCCATTGGCTTTTATTATCGACGTCAAAATTTTCGTCCATTTCAAATAGATACGCAACCAAAAGTGTGATTCCAAGTAACCCAGCAGATACGCTCCAAACGATGATATTATATTTCTTAAAGTTGGAATTACACCCAATGCCAAGGTTTTTAAATTTCTTCCACAGCGTAAAGTTGATCATCAAGAGCCAAAGGAATGTGGCCATAACAGTGTAATACCCAATGTAACCTGAGATAAATATAAAAAATAATCTATTATTATTATTAAAATTTATAACATTATTTTATGTTATACATTCATACCAACAAAGTTGCACATCCATTTAAAAGGAATACTCTCTCGATAGAGCGATTCGCACCACAGCAACGTGAAGCTAACGGCTAGGCAAAAAAAGTAGCATATGCAGCATTTGTCGTACACTGAACGGAATTTGGGAAAGTACAGATACGTCGCAATGGTAATAATCATACAGAATATTGAAATAACTCGCAATGCATCAGGTAGAGTGACTGGAAGAAAGTTTTTCATACATCAAATTGACTTGACTCGACTTTGACTCTATCATAAACTAACTTGTGCTTTTTGTGCTCGAACTCTCGGCTAAATAGTGGGCACCAAGTTTGTAGACATCATCGTTGACCGCAAGCGGCACCAGGCAATAGTGCCCTTTATTTATATTGTGGTTATGGGTATGCTTGAACAGAATGCCATTCTATAAACAACGCGAAAAATGAATATTCCAATGAAGTGTTAATCATGCCCCCATCAAACCTCAAACAAAGTCCACTGATGATCCAAGCTGTTATTCAGACCAACTAAGTCGCAAAATTCCTCATAGACTGGTTGAACGAGAAAGTCCTTGCGTAGATTTATCTCGGTCTCCGTGCCGTTGAGAAGGGTTACGTTCAAGAGGGCGTCAACAAGGAACTCGTGTGGGTCGCAGCAAAAAGGTACGCACGATTTTACATGACAGACACAACCCCTCGTATAATTGGAGGCCATTTGCATTTTGCCGTCGAGCGATATTCTGTAGTCGTATATTCCGGTTTTCTCTTTCGGAATTATAACGTTTCTATATCGATACGATCCATTCTCAAGTTGTTGCTCTTTTGTCAGTTTGACGGTATCAAAATAGTTGCAGCCGGGAATATCTGCTGTGCTCTGGACCAAGAAAACGCCGAGTACGAGGAGAGCCCGGCTTAAGCTCCCCATTGCGTGGAAGTAAAATTAAATTATTTTAAATTTAACTATATAATTCAGTTTTGCCACTTTCTTGTGTTCCGTGATGTGCTTTCATCGGGCTTTCAATGTAAACTAAAGTAGTATTATTGATTCATTTGTCATAAATATGTGTATAAAAAATATTAATAGTGAAAAATTAAACCATATAGGGGCTACGCAAGCGTATTTCCAGGAATAACTGAACTGATAGGGTAGCTTATTACATTAGTAGCTGGTATTTCTCGATTGATCTTGCCACATCCAAATTTTGAGACAGTCATATTCGACCCTCAAATAATTTAAGTTTATTATCTTGAACTTCACATCTACACAGGTATTTGAAAACGAGTTGAAAGTCTATCGAAATGTTGTCCTCAAACTTTGGGAATCAATGTTGTCTGCTCATTTTAGCCAATATTATTATCAATAGTGGCGCATTTCCCATGTAAGAGCTGTGCATTTGGTGAAAAGCGTATCAGCCATCCACTAAGGAGTGGGTATTTCCCAAATCCCTTGAAACACCTCTCAATTGAATTTAAAAAAAGATGAGTGAGAACGTGTTGGAAGTCAATTAGATGGTAAAAAAAATAGTATAAAATTGCGGGTGGAATTTTCTAAAACCCTTGCAGACCGAACCATTTTGCTCGTATTTAAAAAGCACAAGAAAAATAGTTAGTGCCGAGAATGGTTAAGATTTCTTGATAAGCAAAAAGTTTTCCATATAATAACTTAATCTATGATATAGGGGCCTACAACAGAAAGAAGGACGAATGCAAGGTTTCGTGACGATATCTTTAAAACTGAAAGACTAGTTCACATAGAAACAGACAGACGGACAGACGGTTATGGCTATATCAACTTGGCTGTTGATACTGAGCAAGAATATATATACCTCATGCGGTCGGAGCTGTCGCCTTCTATGCGTTACAAATTTCGAGACCAAATTATAATATCCTCGGCTGTTCACCAATCTGTCAGTCATTAGATCAGTAGGTCAGTCAGTCAATTGGGATAAGCAGTTTTATATATAAAGAAGAAACTATAGTCAATTCAGGTTTGGTACTTGAGGATCTGAGAGCTTGAGAATTGAAAGGTCTCAATGCATAAAATATAAAAAAATTGCTTTAGGATGGAAGAACTACAATAAGCATTTCTTTCGAATGACTCTTTTGATTATGATTGACAGGCATGACAAAGAAGATTGTTTAATGTAACAATGTTATACTAATGTTATCAATATAATCGATATATAGTGCAGTCAGACATTTATTGATATACAGCTGATATAGATAGGTTGCAGGCTCTGCTCAGTTTTATCACACTTCGGCTCTCCAATTGATAAATAAATATTTTGAGTCTTTTAAATGGTCGGGCTCAATAGAAATGTCCAGCTGTCAGCCCTATATTTGTTGCGCTGATTCCAGAGTCAGACTGACATATTGATTATAGTGAATGCCGTAGTACACAGACAGATGTACACATTTTATAGTATATGCCAAGTTCGATTAAACAGAGGTCCGACTTATCTGTAGGATTATCAAGTAATCTATACACATAGTACATAAATGAGAATAAGCCAGGCGGTGAGTTAAACTGTGGTTTCAGTTTCTGTCTGGGCTCAATATGTTATAGCAACACTCGCGCTAAGTGAAATCTCAAGATGATTGGACCTGTCGCTGTCGGACTTCTTATACTCTTTATGTGGACATTTGCCATACCTACAATAGACAAGTGTTTCTTATATGCGATGCCGATCGAAATAGCTAGCATCGTCTGCGGCCGTCCCAAATGTACGAAAAACTCGGGTGAATGTGTACAAATGAAATGGGTAACAAAACCTTTCAAGTTTTTATTACGTTCAAGTGTCTTACAATCATTGGAATATATGAATGGCATAAGAAGTAATTAATAAATAATTTTAAAATAAATAAATAAAATAAAATAACATATGTGTATTGGCAATCAAATGTGTATAAATTGATTCTCAAAGTTGTCGTTTTTTGAAAATACATAGTTGCTGAGAGACTTCTCTTGTTCTCAGACTATTAATTTAAATATTAATATATAAAATATGCAGATAATATACTCATAGTTTGTGTATACATATGTAGGACTTTGGGTAATCAGTGGAATGAGTCATTCCGAGTGGAATGATTCACGGGGTTTTGAGTGACATGACTTGGTTCGGACATTTCAAACAAAGTATGCAAATGGTTTAACTACGCAATTACATAATAAAAACTGATTGTTATCTCTAATATAAATAAAATTATTTTAAAAAATATTTTGAGTAGCAAAAGATTGAGAACATTAGAGAATGAGAACACGATAAATATGAAATCCAAATATTGTCAAACATAAAATCGAATGGAATAAAAACAAGACGGGTTATCTGTTCCCTATATATTTATTCGAAATATATTTAGATTGTGGTCCAATAATTGGCAAGGCAAAAAGCTCAAATGCTTTGCTACGTTGAGGGTATCATTATTAAATAATACATTATGTGACTCATTGGAGAATAAGAACACGCGACAAATATGAAATCCAAATATTGTCAAACATAAATATATTTTCAAAAAATTAAAAAATATTTTGTGTAGCAAAAGATTGTGGTCCAACAATTGGCAAGGCTGATAGTGGCAGTCCACTCCGGTACGCTATCCCACTACTGCTTACCACGGGAACTCTTGGCTGCTGGTTTTCACCCCTGGCCCGGTTCATCCCTCCTTAGCCAACCTGAATGCCGTGGACTCCTCCGCGGCACCCATATTGATGGCAAGCTTAGTGCGGACGTTCCGTCAACATGGCTGGTCCACTACACAGTGATCCCCAGCCTCAGGCCATCCCACAATCAGACCTCACAGAAGCGTGATTACAGAAGCTGCCAACCTTCCAGTCGAAAATCAAATTTCTAAACGAGCATTATAGGTCTACGTTTAGCAAAGTAGTTTGGCTTGATTCACTGCTTTACCGACGAACTGCTTTCCCACTGCTGTGAAATTGTTTTCGCACTCCCGACAAAGCAGTTGTCAGTAATTTTGTTGTACCCTGCTTAGTTTCATCTGAAGTCGTTAACTTGTACTGCTTTCACGTAATCACTGCTTTGTTTAAACTGCTTTCTTCACATACTGTGAATATAGCGTGCCTCGAAGACAAAGCAAATTTGCACTCATTAAAAATAATAATAAATAAAAAAGAAATAGCCATTAGTTGATTTATTGATTATTCAAAGACAATATATATAACATTTTTCCACCCATCACTAAATAAAAATATAATAAAAATGAGAGCTCGCCCGAGCAGGGACTTGAACCCTGGACCCTTGGATTAAAAGTCCAATGCTCTACCGACTGAGCTACCCGGGCATGTGGTTATCCAATGTCAAGGAACCGTGCTGATAAAGTCGGAAGAACAGGATCACGAATGTGACCATTTAAGAAAAAAAGAGAAAATCATAAATTGTACATTTTAAAATAGTTTTATTTTAATGTCATAGTCATACATGTTTACATATGTTTTCATTTGTTTTGATTTATTTATATTTGTATGGTTTTGTGGTTTTACGCAATTGAACCCATATCATTATATAAGTACGGATTTTATTTAAAATTAGTTATGTTATTTATCTTTACATGGAATGCAGTTAAACTCTTTGCGCTGGCGCACATTGTAACCCCCTATCTCGAAAACTACAAACGTTGTATTGCATTTTGATTGGAAAATCATATCGTTTGGACAAATTGCAAAACTATTTATAGGTTAAACAAAAACAATTAATTAATTAATTTGTGCTAAGTATTTTTCTTTTCTTATTTGCGTTTGCTTGCTATTATTTTGTTTTTATTTTGTTCGTTTTGTTTTTTTTTTTTTCGTTTCTTAATGCGCTGGTTTTTGTTGTAATTTTACTTTTTACTAAAATTTGTCTTGCTAATTCGATACATATAATTTAGGCTTAGGAGCTAGGTTCACATAGACTACCGATAGGTTCTAGAATGCACTAACCTTAGCTTAGCAAAAAGTACAGCATAAATAATTACATTACATTTACGTATAGGTTTTGTTTTAATGTTTTTGTTGTTGTGTTTTTTTTATTTTAATTTTCTTAAATTTTGTGTTAATTTTAGATTTTAACAATTTGCGCATTGCTCAATATTTTGAATTTTAATGCACACTTACGCTAAGAGACAATATGTATTTGTATTTGTAATAGGATTTTGATTTACAGACACAAAAATTCTTGATTCGACTCGAAATAATAATATTGAGAGAGCATCTGGCGTCGGGCACCAGCCATAAATAATTCTCAGTGGCTTTGCTATAGAAATTGTGCTAAATGGTTGCAATTGGGCCACAAGTTTCCTGTTTATCCTCCGAATTTGTTCATCATTGTGGGGGTTGGTGGGGGTGCAAATAAAACGAGTTTGTATTTAGTATGTATTAATTTTGAATAAAATTAGTAAAGCATTTGCCAAGCTGCTAAAGCACTTTCAACAACACAAATCTATATTAAAATAAAACTGAACATTTCGGCTCACAGTTTGTTAAGTAGCTCTCGAGCAAAACAATTTATATTTAAAATGAAACACAAACATAATAAGGCGCCATATGAGAGTGGGGCGCTCTGCTATTTACAAACTAAACAAAGCCTTATATGGGTAGCTATGCATACATATACATACACATATATGTACATAGTATGTATGACTGTTAAGTTTTAAGTACAGATTTGAGAATGCGAATTATCCCCGGGGACATTCGACTTAGAATTAATTATAATACGAAAACTAATTTTAATAGAAATCACTTTGAAATTATTGCAAATATTACGTTCAATTTGAATTGATTTTGTTTTTATTTTTGTTTTTCAAAATTGTTCGTCTGTGCGGACTTAGGCCTAAAATTTATGCTACACTTAAAACTAATAGCTTTTCGAATACTGCTTAGAGAAAGAGGTTTATCATACTGGACGTCCAATGGCAACGACTTCGAAAGAAGCTATCATAAGCGAACTCCAGATGCCCTGCCCAAGTCCGAGCCCAATGCTCGAACTGTGTTCATGTGATGCATGTGTGTGCGTGTGTGTGTGCTTGTGTGTGTGCTTGTGTGTGTGTCTGTGCGGGTGGTGGCGTCTGCGGGAAGGCTCTGGAAGAACTAGACGAACGCGCACAGTTCCACTTCCAGTATCATAAACCCAAACGAGCCGCGCTCCAGCAACGGCTCATTTCTCAGCTTAACACGAATCAGTTGCAAACAAGAAGCATCGTCTTTGATGTTGGTTGATCGACAGCGGCGGCGGCGGTTGCGATTGCGGTTGCGGATGTGGTTGCGTATGCGGATGCGTATGCGTATGCGGAGCAAGGCAAGGCAAGGCAGTGGCAATGGCGCAGGCACCGGCACCGGCACCGGCTCAGCAGCAGAACAAATTGCAGCCCACAATATCCGCTTTGTACTCCAGCTCGAGCTCCAGGCCCAGCTCCGAGTCGGGCTCACAGTCCGAGTCAGTCAGCAGCTGGTCGAGTGGCTGCTGTTGTTGCTGCGACTGCTGCGACTGCTGCTGCTGCTGCCTGATGATAACCTGAGATCAGAACTCTTGAGGATATTTGATGCAGTCGGCATTGGTATTGCTGGCATTGGCCACCGCCGCGGCGGAGCTGAACAGCGAGTTGGGTCCGTTTCCGGCGCCAATGTTGCTGCCAGCTCCGCCGCCGACGCTGGCGCTGCCTAGCACCGATGCCGCCGCGGTAGCATCCTGAGAGCCCTGTGACTGATAGCCGCCGGCCACGCTGGCCGCTGCCGCCGCCTGATATGGTTCCTGATACAACTGATTGAGTCTCTAACCAGTACCCGAAAAGTGCCACGCGTCCTATGCGCTCAGATGCGCGAACTGTGACGGATGGATATCGAACTGGTGATAGGGATGGCCATAGGGGCCCATGTGATAGGGCACAATGTTCATTGACGCCATCTTGTGCTCCTTCTTCCACTTCATGCGCCGGTTCTGGAACCAGATCTTGATCTGTCGCTCCGTCAGGCAGAGCGCGTGCGCGATCTCAATGCGTCGCCGGCGCGTCAGGTAGCGATTGAAATGGAATTCCTTCTCCAGTTCCAGTGTCTGATAGCGGGTATATGAGGTCCGTTGTCGTTTCGTCTCGCCATTGGCATTCACAGTGCCTGCAAAAGTCAAAAGATCAGGATTTCATTAGTGGGGTATGGCATTGAATGTTTCTGTAGACCGTTTGCTTAGAAGGCTACATTCGGTAGGCCGAACATTAAATACCTTTGTAGACATATATACTATGGCCCAGAAGAGCTTTTATACCAAGGCTCTAACACAGACCCATTTAATGATGGGCGAACAGTGAAACCCGTTATTGCTGATCATAAGCAGAAGAATTTTCAATATTTTTAACAGACTCTTAACATATAGCTTTCATATATCTGGTATTTTAATATTGATATTATTCTACTCATATGTTGGAATTATGAGAGGCTCGTAAATGCTAAGTTGGGGAAGATATCATTAAACGAAGTACTTTATAAAAGAAAGATTTATCATTAATCCGTAATTTTCCATCTGCAACCGGACTTGAAATAGCTATTCCTTGTATTAAGTGCAACAAAAATTCGAATGTAACCCACAAATATATCATTAATTTATTCGGTAGATTTAAATGGAATTTGCACTGTCAAATGTCGAGCAAGCTCTATTTGAGTGCTTATGATTTTCTTTAGTACCTAATAGTTTGTTTAATAGTCTGGCTATTTTATTCAAATTTTAACACTTTCGTTGAAGGCGTTTCTAGGCAATCGACAAACGTTGAAGTGGACCGTTGAATTTTTTCCTCCGCAGGAATAGTTAATTTTCTTGCTTATTTTTTGATTTTCTGCAACGTTGCGCATTTCATAAATATGACGTGTCAAGCTGCAATTTTGCTGTTTACCGTCGAAAAGATTTTCTATTTGTTATTTGTTGTTGTTAGCCAAAAAACAAAAAAAAAATCAACAAAGGCCAAGGGGTTGCGGGCTTGTCGGGGCTGTACGTGAAGTTTCAATCTCTAGACTCTAGACCCTAGACAGCTGTCGCTGCTCGATTTCACTGTCCTCCTCCCACTGCCGATGGCCAAAGATAATGACAATTTGCCCATTCCCCAACCGATGCGCCGACCACCCCCCGCGAAACTATTGTCATCTTTTGGGCTGGCGCGAGGGCGTTCGTAACGCGTCGTTCATAATGAGGGGGCGGACTGTGGCAAAGTAGACTTTTAAAAGCCATTTACCGTGGCGTGTTATTATGGCCAAGTCAATTGGCTCGCCCGCTATTCAACAAAATACAAAAAGAGAATCAGACAATGTCTCACACACACACACATACATACACACATGCGCGTAGTTGGCCCGTGAAATGTGTGGCAGTCAGTCAATGTGATAGACAGGCCAAGTGAGGAGCGCTTCTGTCAGCACTTTGGGAAAGCCGACAAACGTTCCATCTTGGACCCCTTGGTCGCCACGTTCTGCAGCGCACCACTGCGCGTATATGGGTCATGGCCCATTGCTAAACGGCAATTGGAACTACAAAGTTGTTGTCGCTTTTCCGCCAATTGCATTGCTCGGATGCAAATGTTTTTTAAAGATGACGCATTGGTTACAAATATACAAATATTGTGCGAGATACGTAAATATTGCTTATTTATTGAATTATTGGCTTAGAGTTTCAGTTTATTTAACTCTACATGTTGGCATTCAATTTGGACAAACGATAACCAAACTTTATTGTTCAAATAAATATGAGGTTTAAATTCCGAATTCTATAAATAAGAATTCTTCAAGGAACAGTTGTGGCAACTTTTCACATTAAAAATGTATAAAATAAAAAAAAAATATTATTTCGTAGCCCTGAATTCATTTTAAGTGTCTGGTCTGATATTTTGTTGGATTGAGAAATTCGTATATTCGAGTTATTAATAAAAATCTGCTTTTATATGTTATTTAAGGATTTAATAGAATAAAAAAATTACAATTTAAAAAAGCGTTGCTAGCAAAATTCAGCTCGAGTTTTTGTTCAGTTTTAAATTTGCAATAAATAAAAAGTTTCGCACGTATTTCTCTCTCTCTTTCTCTTTCCTGCCTCTGTCTGCCTCGAGGATGCGCGACACGAAAGTTTGTTTTTTAGTCGGATTTTGTTGGTTTAGTGGTCGACGTGACGTAGTCGGAAGATGTCGGGTCACATCAATCAGTAGGAAATCTAAATGGAATTTCTGATTAAACTTGAAATTAATTACCACTCATTTAATTAAAGTGAATTTGAGTGTGGCAAATGCCGAAGCGCCGTTCGCCAAAAACCCCTCACACACACACACACAGAGAGACACACACACATATGTTAGAACTCAGAAGCACTTTTGCCCTGTGCACACTCACGTTGAAAAGTCTACGTCCCTGTGCGCTTAGTGGGCTCCGCTTGCTGGTTGTTGGTTGTCTTTTAGCCATTCTGAAACGGGTTAAAACTAATGACCACGTAAACAGCAGAGCAGACAGTAACCAGACAAAGACATCAGCTTCATCCGTCATCAGACAGAGAGAGCAAAAGAAAGAGAGAGAGAGTGCGACTGCGACAGTTTGGTGGCAAATGGAACTGGCCAAATCCTTAAGCGCGCGAGTCTTGACCCATTTCGGTCAGTTAGCAGCGCTGTCAGTCAGCTTATCAACCATCAAATTGAATTCGAAAACTAATATCTCTCGCAAGCCATTAGAGCATGCCGGAAAGGTGCAAGCTGTCGGGTCAAAGTTTGCAGACGGCTTCATGCAACATTCAGTGGCATTTGATGCATGAAGTGCAGACGCAGCTTCAGGTTGCACTTATTGTTCGTCATATTCTTCTGACCTTGCTGCCAGCATCTGGCACTGTGCATGGAAAATCAATATGAACTGTTGCGGTGCAGTTGGCGGACATTTTCTTAGCTGCTGCACTTTGTGTTTCTGAAAGTTCTGGGGCAGGGCGAACAGCACTTGCGCCGCCGCCGACCATTTACAATTGTCAAAGGCTGCTGTCATTTGGTGTTGCAATTTGTTTACACATGCAACACGCTCACAGCTGCACTCGTAGCCGCAGTCGCAGTCGCAGCGGCAGCGGGTATTAAAAGTATCTGTGAAAAGTATCTGAGAGAATGCGTTCATGTAGCTAGAGTATCTGGGGGATTGGCGATTGCGCTGAGCAGCACAAGGGACTTGCTGAGAAATGTTTCCCAATTATAGTATTAGAAAACATGGAAATATTTAATTTGAAAGCGGGGAAAAAAAAGTACAATGCTTTGTTAGCATAACTACTACAAATTAAGTTTTAAATTCCTTTTTGATATAATTAATAAGCTATCAAATTATGTTAAACAATTGATATTATTGCTAGTTCACATCGTTTGTAGATTATTCCCAGGAACATAGCTATACTTATTTTTTCATTATTTTTTACTTCTATAAAAAATAAAACTATAGTCGATTGATTAGCAAATTAGGGTTCAAGCACCCGTGAAAACGGAAGACAAAATGAAATATGTAATGGCATATCCCTTGATTGGATTGGATAATACCCTCTTTTCTTCTCTTTGATCTAAGCTATATTTTGCAATCTCATTTTGGAGTCGAGTGTGTTCCATTTAATAAACAAATAGTATTATTTATGTCTCAATCAGCCGAGAGTGGGCAACATTTGTTGCTGCACCGTTTCTGTCATAATTTCCAGCTAAAGATCAACACACATCTAAACCAAATACGAACCGAACTGATCCTATTGCCCGGCAACCCGTTGAGGGCTCTGCTAAATGTCAACACTGGGTATCTGTATGGGCATGGGTGCGGGGTGTGGGGTGTGGGGGCGTGGGGCGTGTATAGGAGAACGGAGAACGGGCGTGTGACTGGGACTAACTACATAGCTACATAAGTGGCGCATCGATGTCGCTTGTCGTCATGGCCAGGCGCAAAGCCCCATGAGTTGACAGCAGTTTGGCTGAGGCACTGCCACTGGCACTGCCAGCTTCACTGGCACCTGGCATGTCATATCACTTATCGTCGGGGCATGGGCATGGGCATGGGACATGGGGCATGGGCATGTCGACTCTTGACAGCGCCAATGAGCGAACATCCGAGGCGTTTTACAACTTTGTGCCCATTTCGCGCTCTGTCTGGCCAGATCGTGAAATACTATATAGACATATTGGATTCTGCATACATATTCCTATATATATATTTTTACTCGTGCTTATATTTGAAAAGCGACGCGCTGTGAATGAGGAATTTAGTGTGTGTCCGTGTCCGCGTGTCTGTGTGTGTGTGTTGTCTTTTTGTTTGGTCTTTTGTTTTGATCTTTTGCATTTCATTTTCATGTAAGATGACGTCAAAGTCAAACGCTGACAGCCGCTTAACATATCAGTTGAAAATTTGAAATTTGGTGCATGCAAAAATCTGCAACAGAATTTATTAAGTGACACAACAGAAACTGGCTGCGGCTCCTGCGGAACGCATCCACATTCGATTCGTGGCAATTCTGCAATTCAAATTGCCATTGTCTGCGGCCACGTTTTGCATACCCCAGCCAGGGGCTTTGTGGGGCAGCTGATCATGTTGTGATTGACGCGAGATTAGCATACGTTCAGGTTCAGGTTCAGGTTCAAAGTTAAGCTCAAAACCCTTGACCTAGGTCAGCAGACAGGAGGCGCAGCTGGTGCTCAGCTTCGAGTTGGAATTGCAATCCAGTTCAAAGTTTAATTGTTTTTCGCCGCGTCTTCTGCTTCGGCTGCAACATCTTCGGCTTGAGGCGCAAATAGAAATAAATAAAAAAAATGCTTGCGGCTTGTCACAAACACTTGTACTGGTCATTTGTCAACGGCCGGCGTCTGTACCGCACTGGCGGCGGTTGAAGTAAAAAAATACAAAAAACTCAAATAAAAAACGAGAAAAAAGTGAACATCGTCATCGTAATCAGCCGCACAACGTGTGCGGCACGAAACTCACCGGTGCCCAGTCACCGTCAGCCGTACAGAAGACGTTCCATCTTGCATCTGGCGGCTCGGATTCGATCTTATCGGCCAAATAAAACAACAGCAACAACAACAACAACAACAACAACAGCAGCATTGTAAGCTGACTTGTTGCTCTTGTTGCTGTTACGGCGAAATGCG